TTAGCTATAGTATGTATCATGCTGCTCGAATGAAAATGTACTTATGTTTTCAATTGATTAATAAACTCACGATCTAGTCTGGCTACGGGTATACAAAAAAAAAAAATAATAATAATTTGCAAAACTAACAATATACTTATAGATTTTAACTATATAGAACTATTATAAAAAATTATAGTAAAATCAATTCAAATTTTTAATAATATTTGTAAAAATATCAGAAAATACAAAAAGAAACTTTTTCAAAATATAATTAAAGAATATAATACAATTAGTCTAAAAATATTAGTGAAAGTAATAGAAAAAATTAAGATATTGAAAATTTTATCAAGATTATAATGAGTTTGTTTCAAAATAAGAAATTCTAAGTTATATTTAAAAATAATTTTACAGAATCAATTAAAGCAAAAGATGAAATTGATTAAGAAAAAACTATTTTATTACTATTATAGTAAATTTTTTATAATCCCTATTTTACAAAATTCAAAATAATATACAAAAAAATATAAAATATCAATAACCTGGAATCTCAATTTAAAAAATTATTCTAATATAAGGCTATAATTAAGATATACAACTATAGCTTTTATAAATAATATGATATAAATAGCAAGATCCAAGAAAAATATAAAAAAAATTTTAAAAATATAAGAATCTTTTATTAATTAATAACTTTTAGATCAATAACAACAAGTCAGTTTTGATAATTATTAACAATTCTAATTACTATTTAGAAAAAATTTAAGTAGGTACAAAAAATAAAGTAATCAAAGAAATTTAAATAGATAAATAAAAATTGTAATATAACATAAAAATAAGTGTTTAAAGAAATCAACACAATAATTAGAACTTTCAAAAATAAAAGAATAATAAAAAAACAAGTTCTATATTTTAAATAGGATACTAATATTTAAGATAAAATTTGGAATACAATATAGTATATTGTTTTAAAAAATATATAATATCTTGATAACAGTATATAAAAAACTCTTCAAAAATAAAAATACTTTATATAAATTGATGCCTAATAGTATAATTCATTACTCAAAGATTTATAACTTGAAAAGTATTTGAATATTACAAAGAAAAAGTTAAATATTAAAATTTTGTAATATATTAAATAATTTTGAATTAGCAAGAATTATAACAATTATTAGACTTAAACAAGTATAGATAAAAAACTAGAAACTACTTAATCTGTTAATTTATAAATTTTGAATTATCTATTAGACAAGAAAACTTTATTTTTTAAGCAATTAAGCTGGTAAATAATATAAAAATAACTTTTTATAGCTAAAAATAATAAAATATTTTTAAATGAAGTAAGAAAAATTGTTTGATTCAGAAATTTCTTATATTAAAAAAATATAAAAAGGTCATATTATTGCATAGAATAATAGACTAAAATATATAAATTAGTTGCTTTATTAGAAAACTAAGCAAATAAGAGATTGATAAATACTTTAACTTTTATAAAAAACAGGTAAAGGTCTTATTATAGTATAGTTCTGAACTATAAAAAACTTTTTCAAAAAATTAATTATAGTGGTTTATAAAAACCTTAAAAAAAATTACATAAAATAAAAATCAAAATATTTATAGTAGAATCAAAAAAAAAAATAAGTAATAAAAGTTATAGGTAGTAATAAGAAACAACAAAAATCAAATAATTTGAGAAAAGTTGAAACAAAAAAAAAATGGAACATAGAATTAAACTAAAATACTTTGGTTATTATAATATTGATAATAGCTAGAAAACAAGTTTACAAAATTGTTTTGAATATTTAGAAAAAATAATATAAAATAATAGCTGTATTAAAAAGAAAATATAAAAAAGCTATATATTATACTATACTTTAATACAAAAAAATTTATTAAAAAAATATTAAAAGTACCAATTTCAAATTTTAAAACTATTTTGAAAAAAACAATAAAAAATATGATTTATATTAATTATGATCTTTTTAAAATCTCTTTTCAAAACAAAAAATTAAATCACAAGAATTATTATTAGAAAAAAATATTAAAAGAATATATAAATATAAATCATTTAATAGAAATATTTTAGCGCAATTTTGAATTTAAAGAAAAGTCAACTTTTATTTTAATAGATTATTAATCGACTATAAAAAAGAAAGAATAAGAATAAAAGTAATATAGATTCATATAAAAAAAAGCAGATAAAGAAAATAAATTTTAAATAGAAGTAAACAATTCACTCTTATTTATAAGAATAGAGTTGATAGTAATTATAACCATAGTTTTAATATTTTAAGATTTATATAGACAGTCAAACTTATATTTCTAAATAAAAGATATTGAAAAAAAAGAACTCAAAAAAAACTTAATTAAAGAAAAAAACCAATTCCTTAGGATATAAATAATTAAATTAATTTAAAAGAAAAATATAGATCTAAAACTTATTAAAGTTAAAATGTATATTATTAATTCTTATAATAAAAAAATAAATATTTTAGCCAAAGAAGTTCTAAAACTTTTAATAATTTTATTTTATATAAGATTATTATAAAAATATAGTAATAGGATATAACTATAAATATTGTAATACAATTAGACAGTTTATTAAAAATATTAATAATAGAATAATAATCTATCAATGAATATAATAAAGTAAAGCAAAGAGAAAATAAAGCTTTCAAATTTTAGAATAACAAGTTTATATATAGAATTTAGTGTAAAGGAGAATAAAAATGAATATATATAAAATATATTTTTTAAATAATTTTAACAAAGAAACTTTTTTATTAAATTAATTAATAATAAATCATCAATTTTAAGCAAATTGGCTATAAGAAGATTTGATCTATATAAGCAAGTAAAATATATCATAAAATAATAAAATATTTGCTAGAATATTTAACCAACAAGAATTATATACAAGAAATATGAAAAAAAAGAATAAATAAAATTCTTGAAAACTTTAAAGAACTTTTATAAAAAAAAAAAAGCTAAAGAGAAAAAAAAAATATTAGATTGATTATAAATAATTATGAGAATTGGAAGAGCTTAATAAGTAAATCTTGAAATTAATAGAACAGATTATAAAAACTGATCAAGATATTTTAGGCTTTTGTATCAACTTTATAAAATTATTTTATTTAGAAAATGATAGATCTTAAATATTATAAAAAATAAAAAGAAAAAGAAACAAGAAGAAGGATATTAAAAATATAGAAAAAAGTCTATAATCAAGTTCAAAAAAGAATTTGAAACACAAAATTACTTTTAAAGTTATACTTAGAGTTTTAGAAAATTATAAAATAGAGATAAGAGAATTAGATAACAATTTAACTTTAGTGAAATATTTCAAATAATATTTAACCTGACCAAGGATTTTAAAAAAAAAAACAATTAAACTAATATTTTTATTTGATTTAAGTTTAATTAATGTTTATAAAATAAATCAAACTTAAAAAGAAGTTTAAATTATTAAAAGATTAAATATTTTCAATTCATTAAAACATTTCTATTTTATTAATTCAACCTTTTTCTTTTGTACGAATAAATATATTATTTGAAAAATTTTCTTGTGACATATTTTTTAACTTAAAAATGTAAACTAACAATAATTTGATTTTATTAGCTATATATTCAAGAATATCCGTGAAAAAATTTTTTTTGTTTCCTATAGTACAAATGCTGACTATACGAACAAACTTTTTTCAATTGTTGTTAAATTGAATAAATAAAAAATAAGGAGAACTTTATCCATATTGTCAAAGAATAATTATAGTGAATATGTTGATTTGAGGTATAATTAAAAAAACTTTATTTTTTTTCTTCAAGATCTTCAGATAAATGTTATGTCGACAATTAGATAAATTGTAATTTTTTATGTAATTGAAAATATTTTAATAATTATTAATAGGATTTTGCAACTTACGTTGTTCAATTATTCAATTATATAGAAAATTTTCTAACTGCAAATATTAGGTAATTTTCCTTTGTGTAATTTAAGTGATTTTGGTAACACTTTATTCATTCTCGTAATTGTTAAATTTTTTTACTTGCTTCATTTTGATTTTGTTCATAAAAAGCAATAACTGCTAATTTTTTCTTTAACACGTCAACTTCTTTGCAATTTTTTTGACACTTGTGTTTTCAATGCACTTTTATTACTAGATATAACCATTTTTATATTCACGAATTTGCTATTTTATATATCTTATAAATTAGTCTATTTGTCTTATATAAATACTATTTTAATACTTTATAGGCCGTCTACTTTTCTATTATTTTGCTTGCCCTACAAAATTATCTGTCTTACAGTATATGTTTTATACTTACGAATTCACATTCCTTACTTTATATGCTTGTCCTTATTAATATCTCTTAGAAATTCATCCGCAAGTATATTTATTCCATTCTATATTTATTTTAAACTATTACTTATATATGCCTTATACATTTCGTGATTTCATATCTTCGTGTCTATAAAAAAAGTAACATGTTCATGACGTATTTTGTATACAATAAAATGTCTACTATAAACCACGGCTTACGGTATTATTTGTGCACGTGACAAATGTAAAAGTATATAAATTACGTGTAGTCGCGTACATTTTGACTTAGTAAATCCTCTGACACGTTCACATAAAAAATGTCGAGTGAGTCATCAGAGGAAAATGAAATAGACGAAAATGAAATAGACGAGTTCTTTAAAAGTTATTCGAAGTGGTCGTTGTTAGGCTTCTTGCAATACAGACAAGTACAAGATGACTTTTCTTACGTAAAATTGCGGGAATATAAACTCTACGAAAGCTCATTAGAGAAATTATCCAATGATTATGCAAGACAACGCTTAAGTATTTTCAAAGTTAAGTATATGTAACGATCTAGATTGAGTTAGCTTCATGTGTTCAATGACTAGAGTACGTTCCGGCCAACGAGGCTGTAACGTGACGTATTTACATCCCCGAGTAGCTGGTCGAATTCGTCTTGGCTAGTGATAAAGAACTTTCCTTCCCTCGGTGTCCTTGAACCAAGAGCTCGAGTACGTTTCGGTCACACGTGACGTACTGACAAACCCACAAGTAATTGGTTGACCTCGCCTTGACCAGTGAAAGTCTTGGGTGCTCTTGCAATGCTATTGTAATAACAGTTGTTAACACAGTAATTTCGAGATTTGCTAATGACCATTTCCCTTTAAAAATAGAGCGAGAAAAATTCTTTAGCAGTGAAAAAATTTTGGATGATGGTTGGCAAAAAACGTCTTGAAATCGAAATTGAACAGGTTAACAAATTATTTAACTACAAATTTTTCGTGCTTAACGAGGAACTAACTTTATTGCATTAAATAGTTGAATTATGCAAATTGCAAAAGGTGCCGCGTGCGTAATGTAACGACCAATGAATCGATGGGAACACGAGATCATGCCAGAAATCAAGAAGAGGTCAACTCTGGTGAAGAAGAACTAGCTAATGGTATATTGCAAATAAAAGGTTTATGTCACAGGTTCGCTTTAAGGCTGACACATATTTTCAATTAACTCAGATTCGAGGAATTATTTGAGAGAACCACCGGAATCGATGGCTAAAAAGGTGGAAAGAATTCCATTGACGGTGAACGACATCGACTTTGAGAAAATTTTTATAGATTACCGTGACAAACTCGAAGACATCTTTGAGTGAGTAAAATCGGCTCTCATATTTAATATAGACTCGAACTAGTAATCTTATTCTCTTTTTTTTAGCCTATGTCACAGCGATATCATGGATATGCGACCGACTTCACGCTTCGCGAATGAAATTTCAGAAGAATCATGGGTAGAGTTTGTGACAAGCACGTATCCCGAACACGATCTACCCGAGGACTGGGAAGGGTTTATACTAGAATTCTTCAAAGTATGTCATGAAAGATGAAATGATTTATTTTTTATTTGATCATCTTAGGTACTTACTTTTGTCCGATGATGGTAAAACAAGCCAAAGGATAGTCTAGGAGAATGGATAAAAGGTTGGCGTGAACTCCTTAGCCCAAAAATCAACGGAAACAAAATTCCCAAAGACTTGGCGGATGCAATTCACAATATACTTACACCATAGTACGTTTTCCTTTATTTTATCGTTGTATGTGAAACGTTATAATTTATTATTTGAGGTCTTTTTAGTATCGAAGCCTTTAAAGCGTCTGGCAATATATTGTGTTCAGTAAATTTGCAAAAAAATCAATATAATGCCCAGTTCGTTAGTCCTATATTAAAGAACACACTAAATTTCATATGTAACGTTGATTGGAGAATGTAAGTTTTGTTTATTCACTTTGGAATATTTGCTCGCATTTATTAAATCCGCGAAATTACATTGTTGTAGTCTTGAGGTGCCAGTGCAAAGTAGCAAATATCGTCTTAATGCAAACATCAATCCAATCACTGATGAAGTCTTAGAGGCGGAATGTACAGATGGGCTTGCTCGTCTTTGGCCAAGTCGTGAAGAAGTATTTCTATACGAACAAACAGGACCCCCGAACTTCGATGACATTAAGCAACTTTATATTCATGATCATAAGCTTATTAGATTAATGAAAGATGTGCTGAACCAAAGAGTAATCCTTCGCCTTAAAGACGGAATATGCGATCATAAAAACCTTGCAAGTTTCAGTGCTTTCGGTCATCACACTGAAGTATCTTTATTTTGGCTAACGATGCATAAGAAATCTTATTGTCTTCGTGAATACGGAAGTTTTGATATCCCTACAATTTGGCAAGACCTCTCCGTTCTTTCCCAAGCAATAATAACATGTCTAAAGTTCTTTGTAAGTATAACAATGTTTTATTCACTTATCCATCGCCTTTCACTAATGTCAGTTTATGATTAGTCCTTCATGAAAGAAAGTGTCGAAGTGAAAAGGCCACATGTTGAACCAAAACAAATGTTGCTGATCAGACGACTGATAAGTATGGAAATGTTGGATCGATCAACAACTGATGAACCCAAAAAACGGAAGTTAAATGAGTACATGTTTTTGGATTAGGCTAGATGTACAGAGGGGAGAAAATTTCGCAACGCTTTTTTTTTTTTAACCTTTGATCGACGCGATCAAAATTTGAGGGAGTGATGCAGACCGATGATTATGTAAACTCAATCAACATTACTGAAATTATAGTAGAAAAACTATTAAGAACGTGCAAAATAAAAAAATACGAGTTTGTTTTATATTTAGTTACTCAATTACAATATTAAGAAATTGATTTTGATTCTTATTGAATCATTCTTTCTAATTCCGAAAGATTTTTAAGTAAATAGATATTTTACATTACAGATCTAGCGAATCACGAAAAAAAAAATCACAATAACATTCCCCTGTTATTTTCTATATAAAATATTAATTTAAAAGATACAAAAATAATATTCTTTACAGAATATATATTTATTGCATATATTTAGTGAATATATTAATATTATATATTATATCCGTATTTTTTCTTAAAATCAATTTAACCAAAAATTTATAATCAATTTAGAATAAATAAAATCTTTCAAAAAATTAGGGAAAATTACTATATAAGAAAAAAAAATTTTTTATTAATAATATAAATATTGATTTTAGGCTTTTTTACTGTTGATTGTTTAAATTAAAAAATTTTTAAAAAAAATAACAAGCAATATAAAGTATATACAGTTGCTTCCAAAAGTTTGAGTCCACTTATTATGTTTTTATTATAAATTTCAACTTTGACAATTTTTAAAT